GGTAACTTCTAAGGGGTAGAAAATTTACGTGCGCTTTTTTATGTCTAGCATTTTTATGTAAATTTACTGACGCACAACCTCTACCGCTCTTATTTCGAATCGGACTTGAAATCTGTCGATACCATTGGATTCTACACACATTTTTACATATTATACGTGGGTTAGATCGTCCAAGGTAACTTCTAAGGGGTAGAAAATTTACGTGCGCTTTTTTATGTCTAGCATTTTTATGTAAATTTACTGACGCACAACCTCTACCGCTCTTATTTCGATTCGGACTTGAAATCTGTCGATACCATTGGATTCTACACACATTTTTACATATTATACGTGGGTTAGATCGTCCAAGGTAACTTCTAAGGGGTAGAAAATTTACGTGCGCTTTTTTATGTCTAGCATTTTTATGTAAATTTACTGACGCACAACCTCTACCGCTCTTATTTCGAATCGGACTTGAAATCTGTCGGTACCATTGGATTCTACGCACATTTTTACATAGTATACGAAATTACCCACTCCACGAGTATGTACAATAATATATTTATCATATGTGTCCGACAGAGATTACACCATTAAGAATGATAAGGTGTCGATAACAATATAATAACACACGTAACATTGCACGCTTTATGGAGTTGTTTGCAAACATAAGTATCACTTGTTGTATACGTGTATGCTTACGTCATGTATAAACAGATTCGCTAAAACATACTTTAAAGTAATCAATAATTTTATGCTAAAAATTGAAGCAACTTATCAAGGTCTTTGTATGCAGAAGTCAGTTTTTACTTGTACCTAACAAAAGCGTAATTTGATTGGTCAATTACTTTCATTTATGTTACGGATTACGTTCAAATAATAAACAATTCGTTTCTCAAAGTTTTCATAATTAACTAATTAGAGTAGAGTGTTTTTACTGCATGTAGAAGTAAATAAATCGTTAAAAAAATTGAATCATGAATATATTGCATCCCTGGCAATATGTGTACAAATTTTCATGATAATCGATTGAGTAGTTAAGGCGTGAATTGGTAATAAACAAACAATCGCATTCGTATTAGTTAGGATATATTTAATATATAGATAATCAATGGTCTCGTCATTCTACATTAATTAAAAAAGAGTGCGGGTGACTGGTCACACGGCTGACGCGTTAGAATGTGCATTTTCGTGAAAGTTTTGAGCGAAAAGCTTCTTGTTTTTATTCAAATTTCTACACTCTTTTCTGAGATAAAAATTGTATGTTTTTCATTTAGAGAGCGATTATCTGCTACTGTAAATCGATACCAGTTTGAAGCGGACACATCGCCATCAAAAATACAATCCAAAAATCACTTACACTAACGGCCAGTACAGGTCCGACTTTGAACATACTATAACGATATGAATATTGGCTTATGTCTAATAATGTTGTTCCAGTAGGCAACTTGTGGCCAATTTCTTCCATTATAAAATACGCAAATTGTTCCATACGTTTTGGGGTGCCACCCATACAAACAAACTGAAAAACATCAATAATCCAGAGTCAAAATAAATAATAATTAATTGTAATTAGAATGGTCACTCGGTGAAACATCTTTTTTAATGTAGTTACGGAATAGTTAATAAAAAGCGCTTCACAAATTTATTTTATCGGGTTGTTCGGAAAGTCATTTAGTTTTTTCCAGACAGAGGATTTAATTGTATTCTTTTGGACCCACCTTCACATTTAACCCGTATAATTTATATATGCTTTGAGAGCTCATATAGCTAGGCTTGTGTGTGAAAAATTCCAATTAATTCTACGCAGTAGTTTTTGGTTGGTGCCCTTTTAAATATGGAGAGCGATAAGCAGCATTTTCGACATATCTTACTGTTTTACTACAGAAAGGGTAAAAATGCTGTTCAAGCCAGAAAGAAATTGACTGATGTGTATGGAGAAGGTGTG